TAGATTTGGCTGAGTAAGGTTCCTTTTTATAATAAATGTTGTTCTAAGCGTTGTCAGAAGGTGGAAAAAGAAAATTGATGTACTCTTTGATTTCTTCCATGGGCGTTTGTTCCTTGCGACAACGCTCAATCGCCTCTCGCTGTGCTTTCTTATCTTCATGATCACGAGTTGCCTGAGAAATCTGGAAAAGTTGTGCTGCCTCAGACGCGCTCTTTGCGTCTTCGCGTACCTGCTGAGTTTTCCACTTCTCTTTTTCAAATGTTAATGCGTCTGCTGCTGCTGTACTTGCAATTTGAGCTCGTTCGTCCTGCTTGATACTTGCAAGGTTGATTTGTTCCTTGTAGAAACTCAATCGCTCGGAATTGCTTTGCTTGAGTGCACTGTCGACGGTTCGTTTTTTTTTACTTCATTTGCGTTGAGAGCAGGTAGAGGCTTTGCTGGTTGCTTAGCCAAACTTAAAGTTGCTTGTCAAGCCTTTTTGGATTGGGTCTTTGGTTGAGGATCGTTCTCTTTCAGTTGATCATCTTGTTCTTTTAATTCATTCTCTTTTAATTCATTCTCTTTTAATTCATTCTCTTGAAGTTCATTCTCTTTTAATTCATTCTCTTGAAGTTCATTCTCTTGAAGTTCATCGTTAAATTGATTATTATTAAATTGATTATTATTAAATCTATTCTCTTGAACTTCATCATTAAATTGATTTTCATTGAATTGATTTTCATTAAATTGATTCTCATGAAATTGATTATTATCAAATTGATTATTATTAAATTGATTCTCTTGAAGGTCATAATCAAATTGATTATTATTAAATTGATTGTTATTAAATTGATTCTCTTGAAGGTCATCATCAAATTGATCTTCATTGAATTGATTATCTGGAAATCGATTTTCTTGATGTTCATCATTAAATTGATCCAGTTGATCTTGCGCTTGATTCAAGCCGGCTTGGTTGTAACCAAAATCGAATAATGTATGATCTATAGTTGAACAAAAGGAAAAGGTATGGAAAAGGTTAGATACGACAGTAGTCAACTGAGTAAGAAGTGACTTACTAGTGATTGGGATGTTTGGGTTGTTGAACTGAGACTCAACATTCACACGGTTGAATGAGGATTAGGAT